ATGTTTATTAAGTTATTAGGAAGTATGCAAATGCATGTGTATAATCCCAACCCAAATGATAAATGAATATATGGAAAGAGATGACAACTAATTTAGACCTAAATTTTGCAATATCAGTTCACAGACAATGGTGTACCCTGATAATTTCTTCGAGTTAATTTTTTTTAAGCTTGGAATGAAATAATTATTTAAAACATCTATACGTCCTACTTTTACGTTTTGATAGAACCACCTCATTTTCCACATAATTTGGAAACCAAATTAGAACTGAGGCTATAAACTCAAATAGTAAACTGGGCTGGGTCAAATGATGTGACTATAATATTTCATAATGATGGAACACCCTAGTAAATATAATAATTGAAAGTTTTTTCCCAACCTGCCAAACTTCTGGAAATCAAAATTATCAACATGTATCAGGTGATAATCAGTCATTTTACCTGAAAATAAGGAGAGACGGGAATCTTCAGAAATGTCAATTGACCAAACCAGTATGTGCAGAAATTAACTTTTTTTTTATTATATATCATATAATGTAGTAGTAAAGTTTGTTTGAAGTGCATGAATAAAAAGTTAGTGAAATTACAGGAGGAACAATCTATATAGCAATAATAGGTGCATTCCCTGTGCATCTGAAAGAAAGGAAAAAAAAAAGAGTTTTCACTCATTTGGCCTAAAACTTAGTGTTCAGGTTCCCAGGATTCTGACATCAGAACCCGGATAACACTGATTAGAACCATAGGGGCTTTACAATAAAAGCTAAAATATTGACCATATGATGGCAAAAAGTCTTAGTTTGTGGTTAACTGATTCTCTTCTAGCTACTCTCTGATGAAGTTGGTGGCGCTGTGGAGGAGGACCGCCGCCTCCTGGACGAGGACCGGGACCGCTCGGCATTGTAGGCGACATGCTTGTCGTAGTTCTCCATCTGAGCCTCAATGAAGTCTCTCTGCTGCTGTCTGATGGTCTGGCTGATGAGCCCGGGGAGGGCGTGGATGCTACCAATCAAAGTCTCTAATTTCGTTTCCAGGGTAACAATCCTCTTCTCGAAGTCTTCACTCCTTTCGTTTAAGTCGGAAATCATGTCATACATGATATTCTGGGTCTGGAAAACAGGATTGAGAGGAATAGAAAAACAAAGAACTAAGTCTTAATTACACGGGTCCTGGAAGAAACGGTCAATTCTCAGAGCTTGAGGGCTGGTCTCCTTTTGGGGACAATCAGTGCAACAGGGGCGGGGCGTCAGTTAACTGGGCACTTTACTAGTATCTTGCAAATAAAATTTCAGGGTATGTGTGTGTTCGATGCCAGGACTTAGAATTGTAATATCTTAGGCATTAATTAGATCCAGCCCCTGAGAATACTGTAGGTGGTATGTCCAATGATTTCTGGTGTACAGATAGACAAACATGTTTTGATTTAATATTTATATATATAGTTTAATGATTATACAAATGTTAGTGCACTGCACTCATTTTGTAATGTGTAACAGTAATTAGGGCAAGGTTAATTTTTAAAAACAGGAGATTTTAGAAAAACAAATAATAGTATGGATAGTATTAGGATGTAGCACAAATTCTATGGGTGGAAAACAAAGTTTAAGACAAACTGACTTGATTGTGTAATTTAGGAACTTAAAGCTGTAAAAAACTTAATATCTTTTGCTGTCCCATGTTTCAAATTAGGGCTCTCTGCGGGTTAAAGAGCATTTTTACAGATAATCAATGAGATAATAAAAAGTTGATGATACTGAAGTTACCAGGCTACCTTGTTGGCTATGGTTTAATCAGGTGCTAAATGGTTTGAAATGGAAGATGCTTTTGGTATCCTAGTGAATTTTGCAATTGATTGTCTTGATCAGAGGCTGTTCATGACTCTGACTCCCAGTTATATTTCGAGAAGTATCCCAGAGGCTCTCAGGGATGATTGACATAGAGGTAGAGAGGGGAGAGGGTGGCCTGGAAGGGAAGACTGGAGCTGTAAGCCTTAGGTCCATTAAGTTTTCCCAAAGTCACAGTCCCCTTTCTCTGAGCCTTCCTTCTTTTACCTCATTTCCCTTTGCAACGTGTGCTCTTTTCCTGCTGAACCAGCCTGTGGAACGTTCTCCTAATGATGATAAATGGACTGACTATATAAGGAAGTTACTATTCAGAACACAGACAGCTAGTTTGAGTTGGGCAATGGAGACAAAACGCATTAACTTTTTATTTTTTTTCTATGTAGTATTGAGACTGAACAATATCCATTCATCCAGAAAATATTGAACCCTTGTGGCATAGACAGTGCTGCAGTCATAATAATAAGCATGGCACCAAAGAATTGAACAGTATTCTTTATATGTCTTAAAGAATTTTAAAGTAAAATCATATAGTTACTATATATAACGAATATTATATCGTAAGTAAAATGATATATATATATATATATATCATGATATAACATATAAATTATTTCCAAGTGGTCTTTTTTTCATAAAAATTCCTAATTCCTAATTTCTTTTATCATTTGACATAGGAGCGATGAAAGAGCTTGCCTCATCTTTGTTCATGAAGTATCCGAGCAAATGTCATGTGTAAATACTAATCACAGATGTTTCTGAGCCTCATATGTGTGCTTCCCAGCTTAAATGCGTGATATATACTCTCCCAGAGTTAAGTCATTAAATACTTCACTTATATTCTATTTCTGAGGTATCAAATATTCATCTTCAATATTTATATCTTATGTGTTACTGATATACATGAAAGTGAATATACTTTAGATGTATTATTTCATGATACCAGAAATAGTATGTGTGGATTTTATAGATTATACTTGAGGCTTTACAAATGACACAGCTGATTTATCAAACAACTGAATGTACAGATCCAATTGAGAGTTGCCTCTTTCAAAGCATTTGTATTAAAAGGCTGAACACACATAAATGCTATCCTAATCCCATCTTTAGAATTAGTCCAAGAAAATGCAATGTTGTGATTGTTGACAAATATTCATATTTTAAAAGTGGAGTTTACTTGGAAGAACAAGCAAAAATCAACCAGATACAGCTTATAAATGTGTCAGAAGAATTTGGGAACTATTAATTTTTAAATTATGAAATGGAGAACGAACCATAAGTTATACAAAAGTGATACCTTTTTTTTGAAAGACAACTTTCATGCTAAGATGTAATTTCTGGTATTTTAATTTAAATGTACATTCTTCTGATCTTGCTTAAAATACATTAAAAAGTGTTTATTGTTGAGTCCTACAAAGCCTCATAGTTAAAACCAAGATGTAGTTTTGTTCTCATAGGGATGAGACTGAACTACAAATAAGAATTCCCAAGGTATTGTCTCCTATTCCACTTATGTTTCTTAATGTTGGTCCAAATCACTGCAAGTAGAAAAGCTTTTAGAATGCAGTTGAATAATGTATACAGGCAGGAAAAGAACATATTAAGTAAGAGTTTAAAAAAAAATTCTTCTAAGTTGGACCATCATTTTGGGGCAGTTGGTTGGCTGACTTGTTAAATAAATTTAGGGTGGCCCCCTGTGTCAGCATTATTAATTATTGTGCCGTGGTTAATTCCAGCAGATGCAATCATGAGGGCTGAGACCCCAGCTTACCTTTGCCAGGTCCACCAAGGTATTTGCTTGGTCATTCAGTTTCCTCTGCTCCATTTTTACACTTCTTAATCTAAAAGACAGAATCTGAAGTCAGAAATGTTTCTTTCTTTCTATGGCTATCATATGCCTTCCAAAAAGCATGCACAAAATTGACAAGGGCAATAACTGCATGGATAATGCCTTAAATATTTGGGGTAAAGTCAAAACTGGTTATGTATCTGCTACAATGAGAAGCATGCTTCCCCAACACCGCAAAAAGGAAAGGAGAGAGAGTAAGGGATGAGGTGTCCATAGGACAACTGTTCACCAGGTAGTTAACATTGAATTAAGAAAGGCTCATAAGGAATTAACCATATGAGAAAAGCCAAAACATTCATTAAAGCCCCAGTATCGTGACAAATAGACATAGGAAGAAATATGCAAAGCAACTGGAATTGCATCACTTAGAGTAGTGAGCACCTTCCTATGCCTATGTGACTAGATACAGGTGTTAGCCCTGTTTAGTCTGAAATGGATTGGGTTAGGTGTTTGAACCTGATGAGACACAGTGATAAGTGAGATTCTTATTAGCAAAAAATACAACTTTTATTCAACCAGCAGCAAGACAACTCAAAACACATAATTCTCTTATTCTTCACCTGACTTTTATCTTAAACTGCCATTGAACTTGAAGAGAAGCCAGACCATTTCCTTGGGAGAATTTCCCTTTTTATTGTACATAAAAGTCAGAGGACAATTAAAGTATCTGACAGATGGGATCGTTACTTATAAAGTTACTTTTAGATACTTTTAAATACCATTGCATATATCTGATAGTTAAAAAGTCACTGTTATAAAAAAATCTTTCTGAATGAGAACTATTCCTTAATTCATTTATTGTAATATTTTAACAAATACTTAATTCAGTCTTTACTATGGTACCAAGAAATTAAGATTTTCCAACTAAAAAGTGCCATTTTGTTCTTTAAGCCAACAATTCAAAGCCTTGCTCCAAAAGAGAAGCAGGTCTCTCTGAACTACTTAATAAAAAATATATATATATCTATGTTAACCTTTTTACTTTGCTGATAAATAATTTTACAAAGTGTAGTGGTAAAACTGGAGAGAATACTTTTTATTATTTCCCAAATTAAATTAAAGGTAATTACAAAGAAGAAAAAAATATTCACAGGGCAAGATTGTACTGCCAGGGAGATTTTTTGTAACAAATGTTCCCGATGCTCAGTGATTTTGTTCTGAAACTAGGATATCCAATATGTCACCAAATCTGCTCTACAGTGAAGATATAGTTCCTTCTGCCAGGAAGAATTTAACTGACACCTGCCTACATCATGCTCTTTAGCAATCTAAAACAGTTTAAGGTTATAACTTGTCATTGCGACTGTGTTTATAAGAACGGCTCCTTTTCAATGCTATTATAGAGATGGAATATGTCCTAGTCTAAAAGAGTTTCACAAACATAGATTTAAATTTAATATAGTGTTGAGAAATGTTTCCTTAAGTATTTACAAGGGTTTCAAGTCTTGATGTCTGCCTCTTAAAAAACAAGTCAAAAAACAAAAACAATCCCCCCCTTTAAAAAAACACACACAAACTTTAAATATGTGTGACTTACTATAGAGAAATGTAGCAGAGAGAACCACAATGTCAGACATGGATTCCACCCTTTCCCTGGCCCTAAAGTGACCATCAATTTCTTCATGCATGAAATAAAGTGGGCTAGGTTATTATAATGTTTCCAAGGTGCTGGATTTATACCAAGAGGTACTCTAGATGACTAAGACATTAGACAATACTAAAACAGATGGAGAGAAAGTAATTCCTTTTAATTCTCTTCTAATTCCTGATTATTATAAGAAAAAGGTCTTAGGCCAGCCCTATACTGTTTTTATCTTCTAATACATGCTATCTTCTTTTAAAAAAAAAGGAAACAGAGAGCAGGCTCTCAGCTCAGAGAGTTTCTACAGATAACAGCCTGTGGGTGGAATTCATTACCAGTGTTTCAACTGTCAATTGATATTGCTTTTACCTCTCTTTGCTGAGAAGGATATATTTCTTATCCATTTATGACAGGGATTTATATCAAGCTTTCTTTTCAAATTTAAGTAATAGTATAGTTGGTACATGAATGCCTGAAGTTTGGGGGCACCAGACCAGAAACCTCCAGCAACTTATAAATGCAGAGAAAGTTCTGGACTCAGCAAGTCTGAAGGAGGGTCCAGAGCTGGTTCCTTGGCTGAGGTGAGTATATCATGTTCCAATCAATGGAGCCTAATTTTCTTCTCCTGGGTTCCTAGATTATGTTTCTGACAGTAGAATTTTGCCCATTTTATTTTCTACTCATCTGGAAAGCTGACCTAGAGTAGCCCTATTTGATTGGAATTCCTTTCGCTGCTCCCTGAACTTAAAGCGTCTCGCTTTGTTGCTGCTTAGACTGCCTGTGGTGTAGAACTGGTAGAAAAAGCCTACTGAAGCTGCAGCTGCCGGAATAAAAGGTAACACGCAGATGTGTATTTTACATTTTTCTTCCCCCAAAAGAATAAGAAACATATGTTGATTTCTTCCTTGTGAACTTCACTTATCACAGGAAAATATCATGATTTTGGATCACATTTCCATAGCAGCAATCAGACTACTAAAATTCACAAATAAAGGATCCGCTTGGGTGCATGCAGCCGGTAGAGAATTCTGCAAATGTTGACGGAGCGGCTCACACAACTTACTTCCGAGCTCTATTTTCATTTTGTTGAAATAAAAAGACAAAACAAAAGAAAAGAAACTGTGAAATACTCTGGAACAAAATAACACAGTGTGGTGTTCAGTGGTGCACAAGGGGCTCGATTCATTGGCTGGAAGATCCTGTTAAGATTCTGTAGGATTTTGGCATATTGATCAAAGAGAAACACTATTCAATATATTATCATCCCTCTTCATTGCTGCTATTCTTTCCCCACCCAAAAGCCCATAGTTTCCTCCAGAACTAGAGTTCAGAAGGAAGAACTTGTATCATGACATCTTGGCCTCTTTGAGATAGAATGTTTAAGGAAACATTTTTGCCTAATATGAATGCAAAAATGTTTAAGGGTTAAAAGGATAATATTCTAAACAATAGGATTATAATGATGTGGTGTGTGTGTGTTTTTTGTTTTTTTTTGAAGGGTGTATCTTTTCTGAGTTGGGGCTGTTTAGAAGCCTGGCTTTCTGAAAGGTAGGTAATGCAACACTCGATATGTTATAAAAATTGTTTGTTGAATTTCTTGGCTCTGAGACAAGTTATACTAATTGATGGGTCGATAGAGGTGAGATAGAAGAATGATAAACTTTTAAGTTAAAGCTGCTGCCAGAAAAAGGGTGAATTGTTATAGACACAGATTGCTTCGTGGCACTGAGTAACCATCCACAAAGACAAGATATGTTACTGAGAAGAGGACACAGCCTACAGAGTTCGGCTTCCATCCGAGACTAGAGAGGGCACGTGTCGGGGAGAAAGGCTATGAAGCTTGGAAAAGAGAAAGATTTGAAAGAGAGGGGGGGCTGGCAGAAGGGGAGAGAGAGAGCTATTGACAAAGCTCTCAGGACAAATCAGAGAATAGGAGAGGCCAGGAGAGCTCTACCCAATGAGTTTGTCAATTTTTCCTCAACTAGCAAAGTCTGACTTCACCCAGTGCTGACACACAAGCCTGACAGTCTCACTGGGTATGAACAGTGGGCAATAAAGGCCTTGCCCTTAGGAATCGAGCCCTATGTGCTTTCCTTTGTGATTTCACTAACTTAAAATGAAAGATAGTTAATGTATGATTAGAATAAACTAGCCAAACCCAGCCCACATAAATTCTCAGGTGTACTTTTTCACAAAGTACAAGGTCCCTCCCACCTCAAAGGAAACCCAATCACCCAAAGACTAATTTATAAAACAATTCAGAACATTTTTGAGTTGCTTGAAATTCATCTGCTTTAGGAGTATACACTGCTACAGAAGAAACAGAATAAGAAATGTCTGCAAGAAGGAGAGGAATAACACATGTTTTTCTCCTCTATTTGTCTATCTAAAAGAAGCATGCTGAAGGAGCCACGAAACCCTTATGATCAGGTCAGTGCACCAACAGCTCAGGGACAGTTTTTAAACTTGTTTACTGAAAGATAATTTTCCTGACATTTGATTATGAAAAATTTCAAACCTATAGCAAAGTTGAAAAGATTGTATAGTGAACACCCTTAAATTGTCTCCCAAATTTTTGAGTGCGAATATATTCAGACTTAAGAGCTCTGTGACAACATAAATACCCACCACTTACACATGGCTACAGAATTATGTTACAAAAAAAGCATTTAAAAAAGAATATGAAAATTTATCCAAGGCGTCAAAGGCAAATCACATTTAATTATACATTTAGTAGGTCACAATGACAGAAAGGGACACAAATACAGTCCTGGAGGAAAGGGGATGTGTGGCTGCTGGACGCGTACAGTGACTGAACTCGCTACTTCCACGTCATCTCACTCCCACACAGGTGAGTTTTCTTTTTAATATACTCAATATATTTTAGTATGTGTTAGTCTTGGAAAATTAAAAGTGCAGAGAATGATTTCTCCACAGAATAGCATGAGTGCCCCTTGTGTGAATGTTGGGGTTACTGTGTTACATGGTTGGGGTGTGGGAGAGTTGTGTCAGGTGACCCTTGGGGAAGAAGCTTGTCCTCAGAAAGGATGAAAGGCCTGATGAGAGCAGAGGTGACGGCTCAGCATCTGTCAAGGGACCCACTGTCTTAGCTCCAAGCTTCAGGGAATGGAGATGTCTAGGCAAGTGCTCCTAGGTGGTGGGACCCAGGCACAGACAGCTGTGAGCTCCAGGGAGCAACTCTCTCTCGGGAGCCACATCAAATACAGTGTTCCTCTCTTGCTCTTTCCTTTTACTCTTTCCCAGATGTTAGAGGAGTATTATCTTAAAATCCTAGCTGTCCTGGATAAATAGCATAGTCTGTATCTAGACGAGTCACAGAGCTTAAAGGAGGAATGATGTCCCTTTGGTGTTGGTGGCAGCAAGGAAAAGAGCGTGAGAGACTAGCACCCAGGGCCAGCTACTCCACTGCGTGTGCAGGCTCCCTCTAATTTAGGTCTCAGAGTACGTGAATTCTCTTTTCGTTAAGAAAGCTGCAATTTCTCTATAGTCCATATATGACCATAATTATAGACATATTCCACATTTTCAGTGATACTTAGTTAAAAGGGGGAGTTCGTTGGACAGGTAATAGGAATGCTTAGTGATTTCTCACAGAATGTTAGTGAAATATAAGACATACAAATTATCTAAATATAGAAAATGAAAACTCCAGCCTCAGAGTTTTCTCCTCTGCTGTGCTAGTTAGCTCTCGAAGACATTTCACTGACTAGTCAAGAGACCTAGTACTTCCCCACCTTTCTATGATTACCCCGGGAGGTTGCACGAGGACAGCCACTTTGCTGACCCACAAATGTGACCATGTCTGCTCTTCCCCATTTGGAAATGGCATTAAGAGCAAGTCTGTAGAGCATCATAATGGACACCCACGTGAATGTACTTACGGTAAGGATGCCGCCAGCCTGGGGGAGAAAGACCTGGTGCTTTCAGATTATCACTGAAGCTCACTAGATATAAATCTGTACTTTAACGTCTGTGATAGTGATATAATGTATCAATGAAATGGCATGAAAGACTTGAACTCTGGTGGCCTGAATAAAGCCAGGACAATGATAAAAGAGCACAGGGTCCATAGGAACTATAAAATCTACAATGAACACGTAGCACAGAGAAAAACCCCCAAGTCCTGATTAAAAACTCATTTAAAAATTCAAGTAGTGAATCAACTATAGTACTACCTTCATATAAAGATGCTAGTCAGAGTATTAAAAAATATCCAGACAATAAAATGTTACTTTTTTTCAAGATTTTGCAGTAGATACAAACTAAACATGTTAGAGCAAACTATAGAGCAAACTATATGAATGTTAAATTAAGAAACACAATTTTAACTGAAATTATTGCTTCTAAAGAAACTGAGAAGACATTCAATTACTATATATATTAAATGGCTATTCTCCCAATAATAAATGATTCCTAATCATACAAGAACCGACAGCTTTGCTCACGATTTCATTTATGAAATTATTAAAGTGCCAAATACCGTCCTCTGGGAACAAGCCTGACGACGTTTTCTTTTTTTCCTCCCTCATGAGAGAAGAATAACCAAGTGCTAGAATTAAAACCTAGAGATACAAAAGCAGGAGGAAAATGAAGAATGGTACTTACTGATGAATAGCTTGCAAGAATTTTCGTTGATGTTTTCTTACTTTTGCATGATCTATCTTTTTTACTAGCTTTGTATTTTTGTAAATTAGCCATGTTTCCCTGAGTACATTGGCAGCTGCGTTTTTCACCTGTTAGGAAAATAAACAAAAAAAGCAGTTGGTAAATTCCAAAGCGGAATCCTTTGCAACTTGGCTGGGGGGTCATAGTCTTCACCCCAATGATCATGATAAGCTCTAGCTCTGTTTAGTAACTGTGTCTCAAAAATTCTTTTTTACATAAATCTAAAAGTTTAAAAAACAGAATATGCATGGATCTAAAAAGTACCAGTATCTGTGTGGGAACAATATTTAAACTGAAATATTAGGGAGCTACTGATCTCTTCCTGGGCCAAACTCTACCCTATCAGGGACTTTCTTTTCATTCAACCACTTAAAAAAAAAATCAATAGGTGTTTATTTCTCCACCTTGTATTGCAATTGTTCTCTCGGTGTTCTTCATTTCCCTGGCGAAAGGCAACAGGCCAGAAGGCCAAGGTTAATCTTGCCTTTGCGAGCCTGCTCGGCATGTCTGGCTGCGCACGATAGGAAGGAGGGCACATTTCCTCTGCTGCTTGTACAGGGACCCAGTCTCCTAGCTCCCAGAGTGTCTTAGCAAACTGAGTTGGTAAGCCCACTTAATTGACAGACGTCTATGTTGTCATGATTTTGTTGGTAATTGAAATATATACTTCATTTCAAATGAATGGGACAAACCTAAGGATGAAAGCATTACAGTAACACTGCCAAGACCTGATGGAAGGTGTGAATACTTCCTAGCAATGTTCAACCCGAAGACCCAGAGCTTTCGTGTGGGCTTCTTGTTGTTAATCACCTGCTCTCAGAACAACCGTTTGAGAGAGGCATAAAGATGTTCACATGGAGAGCTGCCAGCTAGTGGGGGGCTGGGTGGAGGCAGACAACGCTTTAAGGACGGCTTGTGGTGGGGAAGACAGAACAGTGAGCTGGACTGGAGTACATGCTGGTCTTTCTACTAACCAAGTCCAGTCAAGGGGGCTAGCCAACCTTGTACGACTTTTGTTTCCTCATCATTATGTGAGGTTCAAGAGAAATATGAGTAAAGTCCTTTTAGTCCTTAAATTTACAATAAGAAAGAACCTTAGCATTACACTAAGATTATGGGCCCATGTCCGTATGTATATTTTTTCATGTTAGCCTTTTTCATGGTGCTGAAAAGTTTTATTTTTGAGTGAAACTGTATCCCTAGAACCTATTGTAAGAAAATGACTGGTTTCCTAAAACTGCTTTTAGGAGTGGCTTTTGGTCACCTCCCCTGGACATTCACCAGCCTCTGCATGGACAGCATTCTGAAACCAACGGAACAGCGACTGACACTTAGGGACTGAGCGCCAGCCGCGGATGAGGAAAGTCGCCACCGTCCGCAGGATGTTCAAAGGTGTTCCAGGTAATTCTTGGCTCTCTATTCTTATGGAAACACATTTCTCTTCCTCACAGAGGTAGGCGTCACCTTTCAGAAGGCTTTTCCATCTGACCCTTGTGCGACCTTTTCAGAGGTAAGGAGCTGGATGCAGTGTGCGTTGCTGACTTCAATTCCAGAATTCAGTGGGGTGAGTGAGCCTGAGGCCTTAGGTCGCAGTATTTGTATTCACTCATCTCAGCGGACAGGCTGAGACCGGAAACGACTTCTCATTTGAAAGTAAAATCCCTACAGCTGCTTTTAAAAACCTGTTAAAAATACATATGTATGCTCTCATGTTGAAACATCCCCTTTTATAATTCTTTAATAGGTTTTCAAACATAGGAATTCACCTCTCAAAGCATCAAATTTAACTGATACTTTTCAAAAATAGCAGCCACAAAACAGTATGTCCACAAATAGAAAAAGGTATCCCTTGCCTAATGGTCACGTGTGTTTCTAGTAGGTTTTTCCAGTCTCTCATAAGTCATCTAATAATGTAACCCTGGAGCCCCTACTCCAGTGGTTCCCAACATGGGGCACATGCCCCACGGGGGGAGGGCGAGGGGGGGAGGCAATTCGAGAATGAGTTAACAGTGAATTTTTTGCATTTCTTATGGTTCTAGGGGCCTCATATACAGTATATAAATATATATTGTGACATATTTGTGCACTTCAGTTCTCTAGTACATGTTTTGAAACTTTATTTGCTTTTTTTTCATATCTTTTCATATTATTAAACAATTTCTTAGTGATTTCTTCCTCACTATTTCAACTGTCCTTTTGTTCTTTTATTTTTCTATTTCATGGATGCCATTTTCTTTGGAAGCTTGTTTAGACCAAGTTAATGGCCTTTTAGGCTTCCTCCATGTGAATAGGAGTTCACTTTTTGAATAAGAATTCTATGTCACGGGGCAGGGGGGCAGGGGCAGGCAATCAAAATTTGAGATGCTTAGGTGGGGCATGGCCAAAAAAAGGTTGGGAACCACTGCCTTACTCCTTTTCCCAGGATGTTCACAAATGCTTGGAGGGCAGGGGCTGTGTCATGAATCTTTGTGTCTCCCTAGCTCAGTGCCTTGGCCCTAGAGATGGTATGAAATAAATATCTCCAGGGTTAAATTTGGCACCAGAGTGTGTATAATTTGCATCATAAACACTTCTGATCAGGAAGCAGATGAATATTTATCAGCCAAAGGATCCTCTTGGAAAGAAGGCTGTACAGGTTAGAGAAGAGATCTAAAATCTAAATGGGTCAGTGCATTTCCATGTTTATTGAGTCTCCACCACATGCTAGATACCATAATAGTTTGTATGAGGAATTTACAAATATACTCATAAATTTAGTGCCAGTTAATGGGCCAACAGCACTATGAAATCTAACTTATTTCCTATATTTCAAAAAATAAGGAGAGTGAGAGGAGGATTCTTTCTTGACAGGAAAGGACTCTGCCTCCTCTCTCATCCCCCCTCCACACACACAGGGGAAAAGGAAAATAACATTTGTTCTGCCTCACTAATGCTCAACTCCAATTCAAATCTTTTATCAGAAATACTTGAGAGGCCGATTAATAATCAGAGAGCTTAATAATTTGAGAAAAGAAAGGCCCTAAAATAATTTATACTACTAAAAGTAATACCACTTACCCAGATGCCTTAAACCCACTTTCATGGGTATAAAGGATATGAACTGTTATATTGCTGACTAATAGGTAATTATAAAATATTAGAGGCATAAAGTGTAACAATACTTTATCAACCACAAAAGCACTTAATGCTGATACTTTTAACTGACAATTGGCTTTGTTCAACCGTAAATGACACATGCAATTAGAGCACTGTTTAAAAGAGTACTTTGTTTATAGTTTTCCTTTCCTTTATATTACTGTGACTTTTTTCAACATATGTTGCTTTGTTTTTCTTCCTCTTGCCTCTCCCTTCAGAGGCTTAAGTGCAGTATTTCCACTCCTCCCGAATGTAAGGGAAAGGAACATAATCTCTGATAAGGAGGAGGACAGTTTTGTTTTTTAAAGAGAACCATTTTTTTAAAACTTACTTTCAAATTACAGCTGACATATAACATAATCGTTTCAGGTATATAACATAGTGATTAGACATTTCTATACTTTACGAAGTGATCACTCCCATAAGTCTAGTACCTACCTGGCACCAAATGTAGTTATTACAATATTACTGGCTATATTTCCCTATGCTGTACGTCCCCATGACTATTTTTATAACTGGCAATCTGTACCTCTTGATCTCTTTCATCTTTTCCCACTCCAACCAAGCAGGGGAGTTTCTTGCTTCTCAATCTGGAAACTACAGTAAAATCCTGCCACATATGCTGAGGGTGACGCACAGGACAAATACAGACAATGGTACTGAGCCTGTGCACTGGGATGTCACGGGCTCTCAGGGCTCTCACCGTGCCCACCGAGTTCTCCTATAGACCAGGTACGGGTGGGTGAATGCTGTGACTGTGGAAGAGGGCAAGGTCAAGGGATTCACTCCTTTTGTGTTTCAAACCACTGGGATATATGGCTAAGGACAATGTAAGCGCTACACAGAGTAAATCCTCTAGAATTTCTGTTCCCATGTTAAGAAACACACAAGCAACAAAATTACATAACCACATAATAGTGTTCTTATTATGGATCTTATTGGGAATTCTTAATAGGATTGGAAACACCCACAGTGGACATTAATATGTATAATTACCCTTCATGGTACATCCAGCTATTTTAAAAATTTGTTCTTTCCAAAATGAAAGGATTCAGAGAGCTGAACTCCAAGATTTCCTCTTGGTTCAGACCTAAATGAATAGTAATAATATACTGCCAAAAAATACAGCATGATAAATACTACTTCTGTGAGGTGATAAACTTCAAGTCTGTTCGATAGCTGGTCCTCTCATACTAAGCCCAGTGACATGTTATGGCTATGATGCTTTCCTTTTGAAATCATCAGATTATTCTATGTACATGTACCTATAGGCCACTTCTAAATTGCAGAGTGTCATGTAAACTTTTGGAATTTTATAAAACTCCTTCATGCAGCTGCCCAATGAGTAGTGTGTCCTATTTTCAAACACAGTATTTTATATGATTGAGGTAGTCAGAGAAACAAAGTAGTGTTTTCAGGGGATAGTTGAGTTTTATATTTTTAATCTTTCATCTTAGCAACTATGTACGTTTTCTAGGTCCTCATCTACTCTTGGTTATCCCCCAGGAGTTATTCATTAATGATCATTAAATATTTTAGACTTTTTATTTAAAAAGTTAAAAATTCTAAATGAGCCCATTTAGACAGTCCACAAATAAATGAATGGAATCAAGTTTCAAGTAAATGACACTCATTAAGTTGATGACTTTGTATAAAATAACTATTATTTTCGAATATTGTATTGCTATAATATCAATATTACAGTATTCTAAGCTAGAAATTTACCTTTGGTTCTAAGGCCAGTTAAACATCTGTACCTGTACTTAGCGACATGTTGCCTATAAAAGTCAATCTGTCAGCAAGCCTGCTGGATGGAAAGTCTTCTCAAACCTATAAGAGACTGGTCCAAAGAAACAGGCAGAGTAGCTACCCTTTTAAGTAGGAATGAGATAAACAGAATTAATGAAGCACCGTGGAGAATTTAAAACTGGAACAGCATTTCTTACAAACAATCTGACTCATAACAGAAAATTACCATTAGGGAGTTTATCTAAAGTAACTAAGAACTTAACTGGACTTTAGGGGACTCATGAGAAAGAACACAAGTGCATTTTGGCCAAGCAGAGGAAAAAACAGAGCCTTCATCCAATTTGCTTAAAAGAACAATACTATAAAAGCATAACAGTCTCTGTATCCTAGAATATATTTCAGCTGTCTATCCTCAGCAGTTAACACAGAACCCCAACTATGGTAAGTATATAGTATATTTTTGTTAAATGAATATCTTATTAGTCCCAGAAAGGAGATTACAACAAATTCAGTACTCTTAAAGATTATCTGTTAAAAGGAATTATCTCAGTCTCTGAATCCTTGGGCAATAACAAGCTAAAGCAGTGGGTCTCACTGTTGCAATTTTGTACCGTTAGGGGACATTTGGCAATGTCTAGAGGCAGTTTGGATTGTCACAAATGTGTGTGTGGGATATTTCTGCTGGCATCTAGTGTGCAGAGGACAAAATGCTGATAAACATCCAACAATACAAGTCCTGCAAGGCAATGTATTATTCAGTCCTAAAGGACAGCAGTGCTGAAATAACTAAATTAAAAAAAACCAACCTGGAATGGGAAGAACTCTGAACTTCACAAAATTCTTTAATCAAAGGCAGTATATAATAATGTTACGCTGTAGGTTTTAAAAATCAAAGCCTTTGTCTTTTCTAAAATGCTTTAATAATATGGATATGGAGTATCAATATCCCAGAGTAAATTTAAAGGAGTTACTTATTTTCTTTAAGATAAAAAACTAAATGCCTGCTTGTGAACCAGGGGGAAATCTGCCTAAGCGTGACAGGTGGTTTTCTTATTTGTGATTCTGTCACTTTTTTTTCTTCACTGTTGAAAATACTTATATACGGTGTTTTAAGGTATTTTTCTGCCTAGTATCTTAAGTGTGGCATTAGCTTAATTCCTGTGAAAGAATGTAATATCTTCATGGTAAAATTATTTGGATTATGCTCGCACTTTAAGGATTCTTTTGATATTGTACAACTTCTGTCTCTTAAACATAAACTGCACAGTACAGAACTCATCCAAACAAGTACATGATGAGATAGATAAAACATCTGCTACAATTTTGGATTAGATGTGGACACAATAATCTAATGTGTGTGTGTTTTCATTTCCCAGTACGGTATATCTTTGAAAATGACAAGAACCTAACTCTCCATTTAGCTCATTTACCTCTCCGTCTACTCTCCAAGTGCTTTTCTGTAACATTTAGAAATTAGTTTGGATAACGAATTCAGGAGTTGAGTGAATATTATGTAGAGTAGATGTTCCAAAGTGGTAAATCCAGTACGAAAGCATGACATCTAGATGATCATGGCTTTGATCATCCAGAATGTATGTGGACTTGCTAACTGCAATGAAGTCTCACAATAGTGTCTGACAGGTGAGACATAACTTATCAGGGCAATTGGAATTCATCTTCCCATTTCATAAATATTATCCAAACAAATAAAATATGCATTAAAGTGACTGATTTATTAGGAATTACTTTACCAAATTAAACATGATTACTTTTATACACAAAACCAAAGTCAAAAGTGAGCAAAAACTCTGAAAATGGAACTCTGCTTGAAATCTCTATTGATTCTTTTATGAATGAAGTTACCAAATGACCGTGAATTTTGTTATTTTAATGACAGCTTAATTGAATTCTACTTTGGGAAGTGGTTATGTAGCAAGATGACACTGCTATAAAGTAAGTGTTAGTTATTTTTGACCTTGGTATTTCAAGTGACAGCGGTTCTCAACCTGTGGGTCGCAAACAATGAAAATACATCCTGCATATCAGATATTTACATTACGATTCATAACAGTAGCAAAATTACAGTTATGAAGTAGCAACGAAAATAATTTTATGGTTGGGATCACCACAACATGAGGAACTGTATTAAAGGGTCGTGGCATTAGGAATCATTTTCCTTTTTATATGATTTTCCTCCTTGATGTAAGTTACTAAACTTCTCTGCATCTTGGCTTGCATAATGCCAGCATTTTCCTCATCAGGTTGTTGTGAAGATGAAACAGGTTTTTATACATGACACAGAGCAGTGGCTGGCAAAGGGTGAGTACTCTGTACACATGTGATTACTATTTTCCTTGAGTCTTTATAATTGGACATTGATTTCCCCTCCAGATGCTATTTTCAACATCTCTCTGATACCCTGTAAGTCATGGAAAGAGTCTGTATCTGCCCTAACACCTGGAGTCCTAAACATTAAGGGTTGTTGAACAGTGATTGGCTTATAGGAGGTCAGTAAAATATTTATTGAATCACCTTCCCATAAAGTTTCTGTATTACATTGACACTGTATTCCTTCCTGTTCAATCTGATATTGGTCTCTTTTTCTATACTGCCAACTTAAATGTTAAGAATGACTATTTTTAAAGATTTATGTGGTCTAATTTTATCCTTGAGTAAATACCAAGATTGTCCAATTGTTTCCTATTTGGCCTAAAGTTAGGAAGCGTCTCCTCTCAGAACAATTCCATATTTTCACATTTTAAGACTAAGCCATGTCATTTTGGCTTTGGAGGTCAAGACAAAAAGCATGTTATCCAACATTGAAAACACCTAAAATAATATTCCCTTTGCAGATAGTGGGTGGTGACTTACTCTTTTTGTCAGCTGAGTATCCATCATGAAGTTGTGCACGTGCTTTTCTGCTTTGGTAAGTTCTAGCTTCCTTGCCACTACAGCTACCACCAGGGCTGTGCAACCAGCACCCTAAAAACCAGAGAAAAGAGAAACCCAGAGTTATTACTTTTACTTTTCGTCTTAGCCACAGAACATGTTTAGCACCAAGTACATAAAGGTCTGGAAGTAAAAACACACCGCACTATAATATTCAGTATCTTTAATAAATACTATAAAAATGCATGGTCAACAAGCAATGTGTCTTTATATTGGGATTAAGAAAACTTAGTTCATAGATGTTAAGAACTAAAGCATGATGTGTGAATCAGTTACATCTTAATTATAAAATATAGATGGTAAAAAAGCAACTTGCTGAATTTTCAGTCTTTTTAAAAACAGAATAAATGTTATGCACCTATACATATGACAGGAATGGATAAATTAGATGAATGCACAGAGTAGAAATAAGAATTGTCTAAAAATAATATTTCATAATCTTCTCTCAAAATAAGACCAGCAGGTCTTCAGGCCAATCAACTATGATATACTGGGGATGAAGAGTGATGCATTGTACAGCTTCCAACTGTTCTACATATATAACAGAAAGGTCACACTGATACATTAAGTGCTGAAGGTAAGAGAACCATTCTACTAGAGGGGTTTAACAGCACTAAGAAAGGTATGGACCACCTTTTTTTTTTTTAAATTATGGTCATGGTGTTCTCTGTGGTACCCCTGCTCCATGATCAAGGTACACATTCCAAGTCATAAGATGTGGGGTCATCTTGGCTGACTCCAGACAGGGTCATGAGGCAAGGCTCGGGCACCTATGGGAGAGCCTAGGTGAGGTCATGCTGCAGCCACTTTACTGGACCTGCACACAGCCAGACCACTGGCAGGTAGGGACGGGGCCGACTGAGGAGCTACCTGGGTGCTATGAAGGGAGGTCCAGAGCGCCACACAGAATCTCATCCCTGAAAGGACCACAGAGCAGTAGAGATTACCAAGCCATCTTAGTGGACAGAGGATGAACAGGAAGGTTAAGGCAAGAGCCCACAGCAGAGGGGCACACACAGTGAGATGTTGGCAATACTTCTGGGTCTTTCAGTAGGCTTGAACCTTTTTAAACCAGGTTTTAATAGCGTTCCCTTTATGTGAGTCAAAATGATAGCAGCTCTAAAAATCACTAGTTATAATAGCAACTCTGTACCTTAAAAATGTGGCGGTCTACATCTTAAACATCTAATATATTACTGTATTACAATTTTATTTCTAGAATATTTAAAGATAATATAATGTCTAAATAAGCAAGTTAGAAAACTGTATATATAATTTGCTAATTTTTAAAAAATGATCCATATTGGAAAACTGAAAAGAAGTAGTTAGCCCAACTGTGAAAAGTTATATTTCAGTGGTTGAAATATCAATAACTTATTTTGTTCTTTGTGATTTTCTGTATAGTCTGTATTTTCTATAATAAATCCATATTACTTATGCAAAAAATAATTATACATTTAAAAAGTGACAATTTGTGGTTTTAGAAAACATATAACCTAACCTTTACATATTAACCTTCAAAAAATTCAACCTAGTAAAATGATCCTTTTGAATCACTTATGTTTTATTATATAATTAGACTCGTTTTATTTTAATTAATAAATGTAATTTAGCTATTCAGTTACAGACCAAAGAAGGCATTTTTAGGCTCACTGGGATGAGTTATTACAACAAATCTGGCACGAGAGACAAGTTGAGAATGAAAGAAAATAAATACACTTGCCCTGTCCTCTACAACCTGATAATTATGACCAAGACATGGCCTTTTGAATGAGCCAATATTGTTTAAATACAATATTTCCAGAGTGTTTGAATATGTATGTCCTTCCATATAGCTCTATGAAGAAATCAGTATCCTCAGAAACGAAGTGATATTGTTCATATGATCAGAGAAAGAGACTAGAAAGTGTTTAGACATTACGTGGTTTAACCTCAGATTCAGAAATGAGACAACAAAAATGAGTGAGATTCTTCAGTTATGAACTGTAATTATCACTGATATATTCCATCCTTTATCTCATCTGATAATACCTTTTACCTATATTTTTATTTGTGCTCATTTCCATATCTATGAAGCATTGTACTTCAAAGCAAAACAAGAGTATCAAATTCACCTTATTTTATGGTAAACTCATAGTATGAATGTTCAAAAAATTGAGCAATATGGTTAATGACCAAAATAAATCAATATTGTTCCTATTTAAAACTGATACAACTTTAAATAAGTAGTTCTTAACCTTGACAAGAATCACTTGAAGAGTTTGTAAAAATTCCAATGCTGAGAGGCTGTGCCCCCAACCAATTAAATTATAATCTCCAGGGAAAAAACTCAAGCATCAGAATGTTTTAAAGCTTGCTAGGTGATTCCAACAGAGTCATTGCTTTAGATGAGAAAGGATATTAAGGGAATATGGTGACCTACCGCTTTCTATTTTGAACAAACAAGCTAAAGGTTTGTATCAGAGCCATTTCAACATAAAGACATTTAGGAAATGATAAACAAGGAAAGTACAGGCAGAGGACAGAGAGGTCATAAATGCCTGGGCTGCTTCGATGGTTTTCCTGATATTTTGTGTGGTATGTAGACGATGGAAGCAAGGTGACTTCAGAGCTGGGTACCAGTGAAGGAAAAGAATGGCCTTTGAAAGCAGCTATACCTATTTTGTTGACTTTAAAACATCTGCCACAGAATCTAAATAGTTCTGTTATGCTATGAGGGGTTACTCACGATAAGTCACAATATGTGGTTGGTACAAATGTCTATCAGTTGCTTGACAAGTACAGCAGGTCCTTGAATAATGTCAATTTGTTCAAAGTCATTTCCTTATCATGTTGATGGGATGCCCGAGGAACTTAACTTTTATTTATATCAATTAGCCTATGGTTAGATTGGTTTTGTTACACGTTGTTTCACTTACAGCTGACGTTAAGTGAGGACATACTGTACAGGATCGCCTGCTACAGTATGCCCTCAGGTACTCCTCAATCAGTGAGTCATGGGAAATTCAAGGGTGGGGATTATTACCGAATAAGCAGAGAATGTAAAAATCTGAGGGACTTCTAATCGCTATAAAGATAGCTGTGAGCGGCAGCTGGCACTCTAACTTGAATATTGTTCTCCCCTGGCAGGTGGCCACTGCTGAGATCCTCTGGAAGGAAATCAAAATCCTAACAGGAGTGGAAAATCACTGGTATCAAGAGCCTTTGGAAACCTTCAATTTGTGTTTATTTCTGGGCTCTATTTTTCCTGCTGCTGGCCCATTTCTTGCTGCATGTTCTCTAGCTCACCCAAATCTTGTGCAATAAAATGAGTACCTTCATTGCAAACTGGAGAAACAAGTGAATCTGACAATTTATTACATTTATCCCTCATTCCATGATCCTAGATGTATCCTTTAAATTGTACCTCAAGAGCCTCTGTAGTAATTTAACCTTATGATTGTTCAAATGCAACGTCCTTTATTCCTTTATCTGCCTTATTTTAATTAGGGAAACCATAAACTCCCTAGGTTCTTAATAAATCATAAGACGACGATTTGGTATAGGTAGAATTGGGTTTCAAAATACCTTACTCTTTTTGTTATGCAAAACTGGCTCACCTCCAAAAGCTTTCTAGGTTCAAGGTAAATTCCTGCCAATACATTAATTATTATAGTAATTTAAGTAATGGTATGATGTTAATGTCCACTCAGTGTTTATTTCCATGACCATTCTGTTTCATAAAGTGAATAAGAATGCAAGTAAATATGCTTTCACAACATTTTTTTGTACCCATCACAATGGGTACAGAAACAGTTGGGACTAACATATGTTACTCTCTGAAATGAAGATCCCTGTATGCCTTAACAAGATGAGTCATATTCCTTTCAGCAAAGTCAGAAAATGTATCCTGATTACTGTTCTCCCATTTCACTTATATTCTCAGGAAAAGCTAAGCAAATCACTTGAAGATGCTCAGGCCACCAAAAACTAAATGAAGATAATGTATTAAACTAGTCAAGGAAAACCTGTATATTTTTTTAAAAAATCATCTTTCTAACAAATTAGATATTGCTAAAGGGAGAAGAAGGGTAGGGAAGAGGCCTCATCCTTAAAAAAGATAATTATTAATGCTCATTACCTTATACCAAACCAAAGTGAACTGAAAATCAGCATAAGCTATATTTGCCCCCAACACCTAGAGAGTCTTATGTAGGGTGTCTCCCAAAAATGTATACACATACTTTGAATAATTATGAAGGCAGTGTTTATTAAAATACATTTCATTTTCAAAATTGAGCTATCAACTATTAAAGTGTATATACATTTTTTGGACACCCTTTATACTGTCAAATTAAAATGTAGTACTCTTCTCAATCATAGCACTGAAACCGTAAGTCATGTTAGTCCCTCGTTTCTCCAAGATCATTTTACCACACAATATTTCAAAAATTCAAAGAAGTGATATTTTTACTTTAGATAACTTGGTTATGCAGATCCTACAAATACTTCCAGAGATCATAACTTAAGATTACAAGCCTACAGAAAAGGGAAATTTAATAGCATACTGACTGATATCAAATTATAGTACAAGGCTATAGTAATCAAAATAGCATGGCACTATCATAAAAACAGACACATAGATCAATAGAAGAGAGCCCAGAAATAAACCCAAACCCATTTGGTCACTTCATCTATGACAAAGGAGGTAAGAACATGCAATAGGGTAAAGACAGTCTCTTCAATGGATGCTCTTAGGAAAACTGGATTACTTTCTTACATCATATACAAGAATAAACTTAGAATGGATTAAAGGCTTACGTAAGACTCAAACCATAGGCAGTAAACTTTTTAACACTGCTCTTAATTTTTTTATATATGCTCCTCAGGCAAGGGAACCAAAACAAACAAATGGGTCTAAAAAGTTGTGCACAGGGAAGGAAACCATCAACAAAATGAAAGGACAGACAATGAAATGGGTGAAGATATGTATCAGTGATACATATGATAAAGGGTTAATTTCCAAAATATAAATAAGAAAAAACACCCCAAAATACCCTATTAAAAATGGTCAGAGGACCTGAAGAGACATTTCTCCAAAGACCACATACAGAAGGTCAATAGACATATGAAAACATGCTCAACATCACTAATCATTAGGGAAATGCAAATTAAAACCACAAGGAGATGTTGATTTTAGCCATTCTGACAGGTATAAAGCAATAACTGTTGGCAAGGATATGGAGAAAATGGAACCCTGTTGCACTGTTGGAGGGATTGCAAATTAGTACAGACACCATGGAGAACAGTATGGAGGTGCCTCAAAAAAAAAAAAAAAAAATGGAACTACCATATGACCCAACAATACCATGGCTGAGTCTTTATCTGAAGAAATTCAAAACACTTATTTAAAAAGATAGCACCCCTATGTTCACTGCAGCATTATTTATAATAGCCAAGATACAGAAACAACTCATGTCCATCAGTAGACAAATGGATAAAGGAGTGGTACATTTATACAATAGAAAGAGAATGAAATCTTACCATTTGCGATAACATGGATGGACCTAGAGGGTATTATACTAAGTGAAATAAGTCAGAGAAAGATAAATACCATATGATTTTACTTATATGTGGAATCAAACAAACTGATGGTTGCCAGGGCTGGGGGTAGGTGGGATGGAGGTATGGGTGAAAGGGTAAAGGGATTAAGAAGTACAAATTTCCAGTTATAAAAACAAGCATTGGGAATATAGTCAATAATATTATAATAGCTATATATGATATCAGATTGGTACTAGACTTTAGAGTGATCACTTTGTAAGTTATATAAATGTCTAAGCACTATATTGTATACTTGAAACTAACAATGTTTTATGTAAGCTGTAACTGAAAAATAGAGAATATTTTTTGGAAAAAACACTGAAAAATGGTATCTGGAAAAGATTCAACATATTTTTTTTTTTGAAATTCCAGAATTCTCACCCCAGAGAATGACTGCTAAAAAATAATAATGTTCAAAATATTTCATGTTAAATTATCTTCCTGTGTACAATGGCTCCTAAAAGATCAAACTTGTTTGATAGCCAATTTATTAGGCTATCAGTAATTCAAATGTCTCATAATATGGTTAATTTGAAAAAAGTATGCTTTTTATTTAATATACACCTATATTAATTAAACAACTTTAAGGTTAAATTTCATTTTAAAATATCAACTTGTCTTCCAAACAAAAGGTAAAATGAGTATTTGCAATCATTGCCCATTTTTCTGTCCCTGGGGTTGACTGACACAATATCCTGGAGCAATAAATACATTTTCAATGCATCCGCCTGACATGTATAATTATTCTTTCATAAAACTATGTAAAACAATTCTGGCAAATAAAATTCTATAAAACACTCAGCTTTAATATTATATCCCATTAGAGTTTTGCAAGATCTCTGTAGGTCATAAAAATGAACAACATTCAAGGGTATTTTGAAGACCAATTCCCTCATGCCCTACCTCTGAGGATCTTCAAATACAAGTTGGTATTTGTTGATAAGAGGGTAGAGATCAACGCAAATATCCTTATCTTAAGGAAGAGAGGAGAAGATATGTGTGGGTTTTTTTTTAATTCAGTGATAAAACCTGGGTTTGGGAAACCCAAATCTTTAGCCATTTGCCTGTTCAACTCCTTTATGTTCTTTGGTGCTGGAAAGAAGGAAGTGCCACATAAAACTGGTCATCAGTAATGAGTCATCACTAGGTTTCTCTCTCCTGATAAGCAACAGTGTTAAAGTGAACGTATGCATTTTAGAGACAGCAAGGGCAGCTCTGCCATGTTAATATGCTGACAGTTTAGAAAAATTAGGTGCAATTATACGGACATGTTGAATGCTAGAAGGCCACAACAACTCCCAGCGACACTTGCTGTACCTGGAAGAAAGCAGCTGTCATCTTCCCTCAGACATTTCCGAGGGGAGAAGAGGTCTGCTTAGGGCACTGGTGGGGAATTGAGCCTTAAGTCTGCAAAGGCCCACTCACCTCTGCTGCAGCTCTGCACAAAACAGAAACTATTACAATAACTTAAAGATACTCTTTCCTCACTGGACTTTATTCGATGAGATTCAATGAACACACCAGAGAAAGCCAAAAACAAAAAGTAAAATAACCTCTTTCAAACTACTATTTGGAATTAACCACCTCATGTCAAATTGCATAAGACATGTAAAAAAGACCCTGGGTTTGTTTTCTTTCCTTCTTTCCTTCCTTCCTTCTTTCCTTCCTTCCTCCCTTCCTCCCTCCCTCCCTCCCTCCCTTCCTCCCTCCCTCCCTCCCTCCCTCCTTATTCACACATGTAATATCCAGGATGGCTGTCTGTAGTCTACTTTCTCTACCCCCACTGGCAGAGTTTTTTCTTAAAAGCAAAGACAGAAAGTCTAAATCACACATGTCTAGGGGTTTATAGATCACTTTAGAGGTCTGCTTATCTGATCATGTGTGTCCCTAAAAAAATGGGCAGATAATACTCTATATTTAAAGATAATTATGCCAAAGAATTCCATCATCCATACCTACATGGTAAGATCTGTTATAATTTTACAGAAGGAGAATAAAAAAATTACTCTTACCAATGAGGCTATATCCTACTCTTGAAACATCATACACAAGTTGGGGGCCAACAAAGTAGGTTTACAGTTGTTTGTGTGGAAAATAATGCAATAATTAATACAAGAATAAACTCTGTTTTGTATACTCACAGCTGTAAACTTCTGCCCCACCCTATATATTCATAGATAAGAAAAAACTAAAACTTTCAGCATGTATTATATCTATGTACAAATATAAAATGGTAGATGGGATAACTTTTTAAGTGTTAAGCAAAACAATTACTTTCTCTGTTATAAAGTTGGAGATACTGAGAAACTACCTGCTGTTGCTCACAGAAAGCTAAGGCACCATGCTGGAACAATGTTAGTTGCCTACTACCTTAAACAAAAAGAATAAAAGCCACTTAAAATTGAGCCTCTCATAGGTTATCATGACATTTACAATAATAAATCTTCATGTCCTTGGTACCTTCTTAAAGAGAGGAAGGATAGAAAAACAGGTATATACAACCTTCGTGGCTTTCTCTTGAAGGTTAATGAGAGACTTGGTCTATTAGGCAATCCTCTGCTTTTAAATCCAGGATACCCAGGAGAGAGGAAGAGATCTTTGTCTCTTAAGTTCTAATAGTAGGTAGGTCTTGGTAAAAGGAACATTTATTATTGCCTGGTTTTATCTATCACAATGGAATTTCTGTGAAAGCATTTCAGTATCTAAGATACACTTATCTTAGTATTTCCATTATCATCTATG